TTTCGTCCTCTAGTCGCCATTATTATTATTATTATTGTTTGTCAAAAATTAAAACTTGTACTATACCTGTAATAGTTTTTATTTGTTTCCCCCGATTATGACAATAAAGAATGGAATATATGTAAAAAAGTGTTCATTATCCCAATATTGTGACAAATCCTTCGTCATTTCATCTTTTGTAGGCATTTTTTCTTTTTGTAACAAACAATTTAGGGTTCTCTTCTCTTCTGTAGTTGCTGTTAGTCTGGGAATTTTGATTAGACTAATTTCTAGTATCCAACGTCAATTGATTTAAATCAGCTAGTTGGTTTCTTTTAGTAAATCTTCAACTTTTATCTTCAAGTTAATAGCTTCTTGTTATAAATAAATTTCTTTTATTCTTACCAACCCTTTTTCGTGAATGTCACAGTGCTGAAGATTTTGTTTCAATCGTGGGCTTTATTTCTGAAAGCGTACTCTTTATTTCTTTATGAATTCTTAAATTTTTAAGATCGAGTCGTCCCCCACCCAGGTAAATTAAGAAAAGAAATATTTATTATGACTTTGTGTCCCACCTTCGGTTGGCGATGTATATTTTATACTAACGATAATAAGGATTTGTTCGTTCAACGCGTGTGTAACAGTATACATTATAGAGTCACGTAATACGTTTATGCTGCTACGAAATCTTATAACATTTTACATCTTCTCAACTCATCTAATTATCAGCCCTACTAAAAACGAATAATTAACATATGATATTAATATTGATTGATTGATTGATTAATTGATTGATATTGTTATGCGTTAGTTAGTTACCCACAATAATTTTTTAAATAAATAAATAGAAAGAGTTTCAAGCGGGAGAAAGAAAGATTTTTTTTTCTGTTTACCATCATTACCAGTTTTGTTAACCCGTATAATTATTAATTAAAAATACAAAAAGAATATTTGTTCTATGTAATCCAGAGAGAACACAGACACTTTCTCCTACAAAATCATAAACAATCTGTGTAGACAATACTAATTATTATTGTCGATGGGAGATGGATTGCATGCATATGAAGATACTTATTATACAGACTACTTATTATCATTAATGATTTCAAATGAACATATTAATTATAGTTATCATCATAAGATTTTTACCTTCTTGTTTTACAAATTTAGTTTTCATTACGCAAACTATCTAACATATTCATGTATTCTTGTACAAATCAGAATTGTAATATGAATGAAAGAATTAAATTAGTTAATATTAATGTTTTGATAAAAAGATTTCATCCCTAAATTATCTTTGGCGTTATTTTTTTTTTGCTATATTATGAAGCTTGCATAGAAATAAAACTAGCCAAACTAATATTAATTAAATTACAGCCTTCGCTTATCTATCTACTTTTTACAAATATCGTTATCATTGTCTTTATTTAAACATTTATGACACATCCACAAATCAACGATTTGATTTCAATTCAAAAATTTAATTAAGATATGAATA